GTTTGTGCCATTGCTTTTGAACCAATATTTCAACGCGGTAGGGTGTGTCTTTAGTCTGCTCGAAATTTCATATTTTATTAGAGTAAAATACATCTTAGTTACTAAGCTTTTATAAATTATAGTGGAATTCTATGGTATTGATGTAGTAACTTATGATTTTTTAGTTATTCAAATGTATATATAAAATCTAAAAACAAGTATTTTGTTTCATATCCTCCATGTGCAAAATTTTTAAAGGCTTAGCAACATACGTCAAGCAGCAACCGAGTACAAAGGTCATAACTAGAAGAGATAATTGGTTGTTTTACGTCTTTATTTACTGTTCTATGTTTTAGGAAAAATATGTTTAAGAACTTATTTCAAAATAGCACTAATCTATATACATATATAATGTATAATAATTGAAATGTGACTGTATTTTACAAAATACTAGTTACTAAAACACAGCCAAGACAAGTTACATTGTACAGAACAAAGGTCGGTTTTATTTTATTTGATATGGTAACATGAGTGGACATGAGCCGCGTCATTGTAACTTCTGTATTGTTAACCAGGCATGGCCGAAAAGTCAATATAATAAAAATAATAAATATATATAAAAGTATAATGTCTAAACACTTATGTTTTCGTGTTATAATTTGTGTTCATTCTAGAATGAAAGAGGCATAATTTATATTTATTTCCTAATTTTTTATGGTGGTTACATGGTCAGTCAAATCTATTGAACCCATACAGAGATTAATTACTGAAAATAACAGATAAATTATAGTTTTTTCTTAAGAAACATTTTATAACTATCTCGATATTATAAAGATTTCGGGTGTGAAATTTCAAAATTTTCTGATGCATAAAAGTATTTTAAATCCTAACATGAATATTACATTGCATGATAGATAGGCAATATGCAAAAAAAAAAAAAAGACATGCGAAAAACATTGCTTTATAAATCTTAAGACTTAAAAAAAAATTTGATATTTTGTGTATGAAAGCATTGTAATGTTTACTGATAAGTTGCCAAATTTCATTAACATTCGCTTACTTATTTAAAAGTTATAGCATGAGAACTATAACAAGCACAAAATGGTCACGTGGTCGGTCCCAAGAACCGAGCCCTTGCTGAAAGAGTTAAGGCAGCCAAGACTAAATATAATACTCTAGATGTAGTCTAACCAGTGACTTATACGATGACATTATAAACTCTTTAAGCTAGTATATACAATATTTCTGAAACGGTACAATCTCTGCTCCCCCATTGATATATTGCCCTTCATTTGCCTTCTAGGCATTGGTAAACTTTTAAAACTTTTTTTGTGTCATTGCAGCAAAATGTGGTGATCACGTGACCACCCTCCACTAATCCCATTGCACCCTCTATACTAGTGCAGGTAGCTCCTTCTCCCCTTGTGGCACAATCCTCACTTTATCGATGGGCTTATTCATACGATCCTCTAGCTCTAGCCATGTATTCTGCAAGGGTAGAGGGAGCTACCTGCTCTAGCGTAGAGGGCACAATGGGATTGGTGGAGGGTGAGCACATGTTGCTGTAATAATGCAAAAAATATAAGGGTATAAAAGACTGGTGCACTTTTAAAAAGTTTACCAATGCCTAGAGGGCAAATGAAGGTCGAGATAGCTATAGGTGGAAGGGGGTAAGTACCTATTGGAAATACATTTTCAATGTCAAAAAATGTTAATTTCTGTTGATAAAACTAAAAAGCCTATTTACACTACCACTAGCAATAGCAAACTGCTTTAAATGGCTTAAGAGACTGATTAGATGAAGTCTAATTTAAAAATGAACACACAACATTATCCGAAATAGAAATAAATACAATAGAAATTATTAATGAAAATTAATAAATAAGGCAGACTATGGATAGAAATGCATAATAATGAAAATTTTTCATTTAAGCTAGATGGCAAAAGGGTCCTTAAAGTGTAAATGAGGTGCTGTTCTTCAAATTCACTTAGGCAGTGATAAGTAGGTGCAGATCTCAGAAGGACTGTTTTAAGATGTCACAAATCTAGTTTTTTTGTCATTGCAAAAGTGTTTTGGATGAAAGATCAAGATTTCAATTGATTATATGTCTTTTTTTGTACATAAACTTTGTTGTCAATTTTGCACCCTAGCTTGCAAATGTATAGTAGGTTACAAAGATTGCAAATTAAATGGTAAATGACAGATTCAGTTGTACAGGTAAAAGGATTATTATTGTGGACACAACTTTTAGAACTAATAATTAAAGTTCAATTCTTTGTATGCTGGCATGGAGGAGCCAGGAGGAGTGTCAGGGTGAACGTGGCTGTTACAGTTGGTCAAATAAGTGCATCATGAAGACAAGGGTTGTGGATATAAGCAACTACAGGTTTTGTAGTGAACTTATTTATATGGTTAGGATTAGACTAGAGGATATTAAAATTGCTTCTAATTATTTTAGTAATTTGTAGAAATATGGTGGAATGATGGGGAATCGTTAAGGTAAGTTTCTATTGGGTATTTTCCAGAGAATTTTGAAGGGTGTGAGTGCAAGTTATATTGAAAACTTTATTTAGGATAGGTTTGGGGTAGGCACAGGAAGAAAATATATTTTCAAAAACTTCTGATTTAGCAACATAGTCATCAGGATCGCTACAAATATATCATAAGTAGAGCTGGGAAATTGAATCATTTAGGTTATATAATTTATTACCTTTAAGCATCAGTTACGTTGAGTAGTGTCCCTCATAGAAATTGATTAATGTCATGAAAATATTCAAGTAATCAAAATTAGTGTTTGTTGATATTAATATTTTTGATTATTCCAACAATTCGTGAATCAAAATTAGGGTTAATTTGATTGTCGCGAAAATAATCAACTGATCAAAATTAGTGTTTCCAATTATTTACTGTTTTCAATTATTCCAACTATCTAAATATTCAGAATGGGTTAAATTCTCCATTTCCACCAAACTTACTTGCTCTGTCTTTGTTATGGCAAAGCTGCTAAGGTTATCTGCCATTAACTTTAAACTGATGACTAGAGGGAAGGCAACTTACTGGCAGCACCCTCTGCCAACTTTATGGGTTATTACATGCTAAATAAAGTGTAAATTTACCATTTTTTACTTTGTGTTATATTTCTAATACATAATTGTGTAACTGTATTATTGAATGTTGTATAAGCAGCCACATTTTATTCCAGAAACTAATAACTGTATTTCATAATGTTGTATAAGCAGGTGTAGATATAGAGGAGTAGGTGTTCCAGACCACCATCATTTTTCCAGAAATCAATAACCGTATTCTTCAATGTTGTATAAGTAGGCACAAATCTAGGTGAGGGGGTCTAGAGGGCTGAATCTCCTCCACCCATTTTTTTACAGAAATTAATTGTATTATTTAATTTTGTATTAATGAGTATACATGTAAAGGGTCCAAATCTCACTCTTCCTTTTCTTTCTTAGAAATTGATAAAAAATAGCCATATGTCAGGTACTTACTTTTTAGTTTGTAGATATTAAGTAAGTAAATACATGGGTGTGTTGGGCTAAGGATTCTTCTACAGTAGGTGTCTGTGACTTGTTGGTGATAATTTAAAAGATAAATGAACAACATGCATTCCACTTGTTTTTAAAATAATATATATATTTGGAACAAGTTAAACGTATGTACAAAAATTCCTGACACTATGTAGATCATAGTTATATCATAAACACTATATAGTTCTCTTCTTCTTGTCAAAAGTCCACTTAGTCCTCTTCAATTGCTTTAGAATTCAGTTGACAAGCTGAAATATTTTTCTCTATTTCTATTGCCAGACTATCCGTGTATAGTTCACTTACATTATCGTTGAGTTACTGCAGTTGTATCCTGTATTTCAAAAATCCTCTGCTTCCTTTTTGTATTTCCAAGAATTGTCTACCTTTTGTCAAAGTCCACTCAGGCTAGTTCAATTACTTTAGAACACCATTTGAGGAGACAACTTATTCTCCTTACCTCTTTGAAATTGTTCACTTCCATGATGATTAACTTTGTGTTTAACTTTTTTCAAAACACAAGTATAAATGTGAATATATTAGCCTTATAATAAACATAAGTTGTTAATTTACCATTGCCTATGGTGATCTCTATATCAAAATAAGAGAGGTTGTTTGTGGAAATGTGCCAGTAAAACTTAAGGATGGATGAACTTTTGAAAAGAAGGCAATAAATGAGTGGAGTTCAGTTTGGTTACTTACAAAGATACCAAAAACATTGTCAATATATCTAGCATACAGACTGTGCTTTTTTTATTCTGAAAGATTGAGGGAACTTTGAAAAAAAAATTGGGGTTTTGGGTAACCTACAAATAAATCAGCATATGAAGGACTTATCTTTAGTGCCCATGGAAATGCTGCAATCTTGCATAGGATATTTTCTATTAAAAACTGAAAATATTGAGATACAAAACAAGTACTATAAGTTTCAGGATGGTATCAGTTGAAGGTTTGGGTATATTTCATATATCAAGAAAGCACTTAGGAGCTTTTAAGCCATTGATGTGAGGAATAACAGTGTAAAGGCTTGTTCTGTTGCCAGTAAGAGTTAGAAGAGTCTGAGGGAAAGGTAAAACCATCTAATAGCTGAAGTCTCTAATGTGAGGAGGTAACAATTGTAGAATGGGAGAGAATGTCTTTGAGAAAACTAGTGATCAATTCTGTCAGGTAGCTATAAGTTGAGACAGGTGCTTTTATTGGATTGTTAGGTTTATGAATTTTGAGAAGAATATAATAAACAGACAGTCAAATTCAAAATTGAACAAGATTATGAACTTAGAGAGGTCAGTTTTTTCTTAAATAGGCTTGTTTATAGTGTTAAGAATTTGAGTTTGTAGACTTGCTTAAGGTTTATCATCAGTTATAGGTAGGTGAAAAGAAGTATAGATAACTGTTTATCAGCTTTGGCCATGTAGAGTTGGAAATTTATTGGAAGATTTCATCACAGTATCAGTTATTGATTTTAAATTGGACAATGAAAGATGATGTTCTTTAGATATGTTGATCGAAAATGTTGAAGCAGAAAAGTCAGTATGTCTACTTTGTTCATGTCAAGTCAAAATATAATAGGCAATGGCAGGAAATTCCCTGATCTCAGGTGTTTTTTGTTTCATTTTTTGTTGATGTGTTCTAACAGTGAAGCTAGTTTTCATTCACTTCAAGAGATTGTATAGCATCATCCTTGGGGACAATGTTTGGATTTGGAGAGTTTTAAGAACACTGGGATGTATCAGAATAGTGGTGACTTTGTAGATGAACATGCAAGAAGAATTGTTCAACATTTTAAAGAATTGTAAGTTTGACAGTTTTAGTTTTGGTTGGGATGAAACCCAGTCTTTTGGATAAAACAGATTTTTCTGCTGTAGATAAAGGAAGATCAGATGGAATGGATTGAGGATTTAAGATTCACTGAAAGATTTTGGACAAGATTTTTGCTAAGAATTGAGTTGAAAGAAGCCTTAGAGAAGAACTTTCTTCTGTTTGATTCTTCACATAGTGAAAAATTTGGCATTTAGGAGATAGACCTGCCTGTGAATTTAACTAACAATGTCATGGGTCCAAATCTCATATAATGCACATTGTTATATATGAAACTGTTTAGAGATAGTGGAACAGAAAAATTTAATTTGGTGTTGTAAAACTGTTTTATTGTTTGTAATATCTAGAAAAGAATATGGATTTCAATACTGTTGCTAATAGCACTGTCTAGAGACAGTGGAATGGAGTTGTAAATATTGTTAACTTAATTATAGTTTTATTGGTTGTAGTCTTTATAGAGAAGAACATGGAATTAAATATTGTTTTGTTGTTTAAAGCACTGTCTAGAGACAGTGGAATGGTGCTGTATGTTTATACTAAGTATTATTTTGTTGTTTATAGCACTGTCTAGAGACAGTGGAATGATGCTATGAATAAATTTTCCTCTGCCAATGAAGGTGGCAGTAGTTATGTATTTACCCCCTGTGTGTGTGTTTGTTTGTAAGTAAGATTTCTCAAAAATGGCGGAATGGATTTAGATGAAAGTTGGTATACATTTGTACAATGATTCAATTTATAAGTGATTAGTTTTTGGAGGGTCAAGGTCACAAAAATCCAAAAAAATCCCCATCTGTTAACATGGGGACTGATTTTCCACACAATTTTTTGCTCTATAACTCAGTCAAAAATGATCGGATTTTGGTGAAAATTGGTGGACATATGTAGAATGTTACTCCTCATTGTCCTGCCAAAAGTGGTCTGTGTTCCATTGATCACGACAGACATATGAACAGATTTTCATATTTTTTTAGGGCCGAATATGTTCAATGCTGCATGGCATTGGTATGAGTTCTACTGAATGCCTCTCTAGTTAAATGTGGTTTTATTGTTTGTAATATATTTAAAAAAAGATTGAATTAAATATTATTGTTTTTATGACCCTCTAGGAACAGAGGAATGGTATTGTATGTTTACATTAAATATTGTTTTGTTGTTTATAGCACTGTCTAGAGACAGTAGAATGATACTATATGTTTACACTAAATATTGTTTTGTTGTTTATAGCACTGTCTAGAGATAATTGAATGATAATGTATGTTTACACGAAATATTGTTTTGTTGTTTATAGTACTGTCTAGAGACAGTGGAATAGTACTGTATGTTTACATTAAATGTTGTTTTGTTGTTTATAGCACTGTCTAGAGACAGTGGAATGATACTGTATGTTTACATTAAATATAGTTTTGTTGTTTATAGCACTGTCTAGAGACAGTGGAATGCTACTGTATGTTTACACTAAATATTGTTTTGTTGTTTATAGTACTGTCTAGAGACAGTGGAATGGTACTGTATGTTTACATTAAATATTGTTTTATTGTTTATAGTACTGTCTAGAGACAGTGGAATGGTACTGTATGTCTACACTAAATATTGTTTTGTTGTTTATAGCACTGTCTAGAGACAGTGGAATAATACTGTATGTTTACACTAAATATTGTTTTGTTGTTTATAGCACTGTCTAGAGACAGTGGAATGGTACTGTATGTTTACACTAAATATTGTTTTGTTGTTTGTAGTACTGTCTAGAGACAGTGGAATGGTGCTGTAAGGAAGATGTACAAGTGGAATATTGTTAAACTGTGTGGGTCTCCTGGTGTGGAAGTCCAGAGAGTAGTTTTGTATGATACCACTATACAAAATCATGGAAGAAAACTGTTCACCATTTTTGTTGATGGAGAGCCCTCTTGTTTTGTGGGTATGTATGTTTTATTTATGAAGATTTGAAAGAGCCAGTTTTGTTTCTCTGAAAATTTCTGTATTTTAGTATTGAAAATGAAGCTTTTAACCTTTGATCAAATCAGAACGTTTTTGCCCATACTTTTGTATTATCACCTTGTATTTTGGCAGTTTATTTACAATAATTATGTGTTGTTTGTTTCCTATGAATTATATATTGTTATACAAATGGAAATCAGGAGATTCTGGAAATATAAAGAGTTCAAACTTGTGTGAGGAGGTACTAATACATATTTAGTAGTTAGAAAATGTAAAATATATTGGTCTCACCATATTCTTGATTAAGTAAAAGTTGAGAGGTTTAATTGTTCTCTATGGAATCGTATTTATTTCTATCTTCAGCTGAAAGTGATTGCAGGAGAAAAGCATGTGGACTATGAACAACTATGTGAGGGGTTACTACTCCTGGGTGTCTGGCAGCAAATGTAAGTGTCTGTTGTTAAACCAAGTGGCTTATACTTTGAACATTAGACTTTGTGAAAAATACTCTTTTAAAGTTCATTTAATGCAGTTGTGAATTAAGACTGAACTTTAAATGTTCCAGGGTAAGATGATTCTACTAAACACTGGGTTAATTCAATCTAAACTGGCTGAAGTCCAAAATTTTTATTCCTTTTTAAACTGTTTTATTGTTTAAATTCAATAGTGCATTTCATGCATGTTTGAAAGTGCTTTTCTTTAGGATTAAATAAACTTCATGTATAATAGTTGATAAGAGATACACTATCAAGTTTGAATTATATACAAAAAAAGCTCCAATATACAATAGTAAAGAACTTATAAGAATTTCTTTTCTTATTAGAACTTAAATTCTTTAAATTAGATTTTCAGTACCATTAAATGTTAACACTATTATACTATGTTAAACATGTTTGTACAAGGTATTGGTTAACCCTATAATGTTTTTTAGAGTTTTTTGTTCTGTTGTTTTTTTTAGAGATCCTCTATCAGCAGTTGGAGAAGTAACCACCGGTTCTACAGACATCTGTGTTCGTCTTCGCAACTACAGTTGCCTAATCAGTAATATAAGGACTTTTTATGAGGTATATATATATATATTATTCAGTTAGTGTAAGAAAGTTTGATGAGTTTGTTGAAATTTATATATTTTTATTTTTTAATCCTTGAATGAAGCTCTTTGCACAGTAAGGCCTGGACATAACTACTTGTATATTGATACTTAGTTGATTACTTTACTTACTTTAGGCCCTACTTGCCTAGTGACACAAAGAGCCCCTCCATAAACTCAGTCCAAGCATGTTGATCCCAAGCTGAATCTGTGACATCAACTCGCTGATTTCTAGCTACCCTTCTCATAGGGCTCGGCATGGCCAGATGGTTAGGGTGCTCGACTCGCAATCGGAGAGACACAGTTTTAAATCCCTGTCCCACCAAGCATGCTCACCCTTTCAGCCATGGGGGGGGGGGGGTTATAAAGTAATGGTCAATCCCACTATTTGATGGTAGTGTTGGCAGTGGGTGGTGATGACTACCTGCCTTCCCTCTAGTCTTTCACTGCTAAATTAGGAATGACTTGTGCAGATAGCCCTTGTGTGGTTTTGTGTGAAATTCAAAACTAATCAAACAAACCCTTCTCATAATGCCAGTCCATGTTGGTTTTGGTCTACCTTTTCTTTGAGTTCCATGAGGTCTCCATTTAACTGCTTAATTGATGATTTTTTTTACTGTCCCTTCACATCACATGTCCAATTGATTTCCATTGAGACTTCTTCATATCATCATCAATCCAGGGTAATTGTGTCACTTCTCTAATATATTGCACACATACACAATCTATAAGTCTGACTCCGAGGATTGTTCTTAGAACTTTTTTCTTTTCAAGTTTTACAAATATGGCACACAATCTTTCATTGTTCATAAAGTAATGGTCAATCCCACTATTTGATGGTAGTGTTGGCAGTGGGTGGTGATGACTACCTGCCTTCCCTCTAGTCTTTCACTACTAAATTAGGAATGACTTGTGCAGATAGCCCTTGTGTGGTTTTGTGTGAAATTCAAAACTAATCAAACAAACCCTTCTCATAATGCCAGTCCATGTTGGTTTTGGTCTACCTTTTCTTTGAGTTCCATGAGGTCTCCATTTAACTGCTGAATTGATGATTTTTTTTACTGTCCCTTCACATCACATGTCCAATTGATTTCCATTGAGACTTCTTCATATCATCATCAATCCAGGGTAATTGTGTCACTTCTCTAATATATTGCACATATACACAATCTATAAGTCTGACTCCGAGGATTGTTCTTAGAACTTTTTTCTTTTCAAGTTTTACAAATATGCCACACAATCTTTCATTGTTCTACCGACTTTCATATCTATACAGAAGAACTGATCCAACTAGTGTAATATATAGATGAACCTTAGTGTCGATTCAGAGTCTGTGAGACTTCCACGCTCAATCAGAATCTAATGTAGGATTTAATGGCCAACAGTGCATTGCTATAAATCAACATGGATTTTGAACTCTGTTCAAACAGAGATGTATATTACCTGTTATTCTGATTAGAACATTAGTAAGTACCATAAATGTTATAGAGGTTCAGTTCTATAGAATATTACTAAATGCATATAATAGTAATTATTTAAACCAAAATATTAAATCAACATGGATTTTGAACTCTGTTCAAACAGAGATGTAAATTACCTGTTATTCTGATTAGAACATTACTAAATGCATATAATAGTAATTATTTAAACCAAAATATTAAAGATGATTAAATGTTATACAGGTTCAACTATAGAACATTACTAAGTATATGTAATGGTATATTATTTAAACCAAAATATTAAGGATCATTAAATGTTATATGGGTTCAACTATAGAACATTACTAAGTATATATAATGGTATATTATTTAAACCAAAATATTAAGGATCATTAAATGTTATACAGGTTCAACTATAGAACATTACTAAGTATATGTAATGGTATATTATTTAAACCAAAATATTAAGGATCATTAAATGTTATACAGATTTAAGTATAGAATGTTAATTAAGTATGGAAATGGTATATTAAATAAACCAAAATATTGAGGATCATTAAATGCTATACAGATTCAACTATGCAATGTTAATTAAGTACGTAAATGGTATATTACATATTCAAAGATGTTCAAACTGATAAAACAAATAATGTATTTTGAATTTGGAGCATTTCAATAACAAATAGTAAGGTACAGCATTAGGATACCAAAAAAGGGCCACTTTCTTAATTCACCATAGTTGATATAAATGTCAAATATTAACATCCTTGTAAATCCATAAAAAGTATTAAATATTTATTCTTTATAAATATCGGTGATTGTGCTATTTTTTTTATTTTATTTTTTTGCCCATGCATTCCAAAATGTACATGCCAAATATTTGCATCCCATTTTTCAGGAGCTGTATTCATATACTCAGCTGAACTTATGAACAGAATCATGCCATTCTGTTGATATGTGCACTTTTCATCATGTAGACATCACTATATATATATAACTCCATGATCTTTTGGCCTGAATCTGATAGCTGTGGAAATGAGGTCATCCTAAACCATATATTGGTCAGGATCATGCTTTGACACATTTCCTGCACTAAATTATGCCAGTTATTCATTTATTGCAAGTTTTTGAACAATAAGAAGTAAATTCATGTGTGTGTGATTTTGGCTAATTTTATTACAGTTCAAAGAAAAAAGTGTTGATTATGTTGTTCTCTGATTTTAAGAAATTAGTACTATAAATAGATATGAATTTAGACTACATCTTATTCAAAGCTGATAATAAGTTGCGTAGCTCATCAGAAAAAAGGATATATGCATAATTAAAATTTAGAATTTACTTGTATTGAATTTGATTTGTAATTTGTATTACTATTGTTTTCATAAAACGTATGTTGATAGTTTTAACATTTTTGAAAAGTATTACTTTAGTTACTAACTTAAAATCCTATCAGGTTTAACTCGTACAAGTTGTAGAACTGGTTTTCATAAAATATTTTCATTTCTTACAGCATAGGTTTATTTTCTAAACTTAATTCAGATTTGAATAAAAAGTAAGTACTCAGTGTCAAGGTTTTTGGATTGTATAAGTTGTAGAAATTGTGTCAGGATCAATGTGAAAATATTTTCTGACATATTACAAAATTAATAACATTGTAACATTCTTTTTTTTTTTTTTTGGAGAGACGTATTTAATTGAAAATCAAAAAAGAATTAGATGAAAAAAACAATAGTTAATCAGTTATAACTAACAATAGTTAATCAGTTATAACCGTAACACAGTTTATTACACACTTTAAAGACCACTAACATTGTGTGTCTCAAATGAAGTTATAATACATAGTTAAAGTCAGTACTGTCTGTATTAGCGAGTTGCATGTCTGTAGTTAAAATGTTTGTCGTTTGGCCCTTTCTGAAAAAAAAACAACCCAAAAAAAAGTGTTGTCTTCACTGTATTTTGCAGTCAAGTGGCTTCTTGACAAAGTTGGGAATGCAGTTATAGAACTTTTTGATGAACATTTAATAAAAATGAAATTCTAAAGTGATAGAAAAACTAAATCATATTTTACAAGCTGAGGTACCTGTCCTTTGTCTGGGTTATGGACTTTAAAACAAATGTGGGGGTGGATGCTATGGTAAATAACACAAAAATCCTAACTTTCACACAATGTATTTTTAATATTTTAACAGTATTCATTATTACCTCACCAAAAGTTTTGTACAAGGTTTAAGAATTCAATATGTACTTAAAAACATGGTATATACTGTGTGATGGTCAGAGTTACTTTGTATTAAGAGGTAGCAGCCAAAGTAGTGGTGGTAGGGGTGCTTTCTGTTACTTACTTTCAACAACCAGCTCTTAATGTCCTTCCACAGTGTTTTACTTGATTAACTGATTGACGGTCATTGGCTGCAGAAGTGTATTATGGGCTGAAGTTGAAACGTCACGGGTCAAAGTAGGAAGTGGGTATAACTTAAAATCAGCCTTATGGTGGCTGTTGGAATAGAAACTTCGGCTGAGTTTTTGTATTATTGCAATAGTGGCAGTCATATTTTTTCATTGCATTCCTCCATAGAGAGTGCTAGCACACTCTCTGAGATATATTTAAGAGTTTATGTACTCTCCCCCACACTTCGTGTATGTTGTGTTATAGAAATTTTAATACATTTCTTTTGTGTGTGTAAAGACGTAGCACCATCTATGAATGTAGTTAACATTGACTTGCATCAAAGATAATAAATGCTCAATAAAAGCAATAATGGAAGTGGAGGGAGTTGTTAACTCCCCATTAACATGCCCCTTGTTCCAAACTATCATCCCACAAAGTTTGGTTGAGATTGGCCCAGTGACCTAGGAGTAGTTAGATAAAGGACATACAGACAGATATACATATTTTTGTGCTTTATATATAGATGAATTTCTAAGTCAAAATAAATGAAATTAAGTATTTAGTAAGTTGGTTCTAAGCTTAATGCAATTTGATTAAATATTTCCACTGTCAGAAGGATCAGAAGGAAACAAAGTCTAAGAATATCAATGACATCCTCCCAGTCTGGATTGGGTTAAGACCCATCATCTTACTTTATTATTGTATCCATTTATTATATTTACAAGTCCCATGAATACAGAATGAGCCTTATTTCATCTAATTGATTTATTTTGTGTCTAAGATGCAAAGTTTGCATTAACGTGACCAGTGAATATTATTAGTGTTTTTATAGTGTAGTGAAAAACTAAATTAATTTTTCAGTACATACATTTTGAGCAGATATGTTTAAGTATGTAATGATTATTAAAGATTGAAGCATTGTCTGTAAATGTACTTGTTTTCCTAAGCTCAAGAAATACCTCTTCCATGACACTAATATACTTAACCTTTTGCTTACTGTAGGGTGTACTTAATATTCATTCTATTTCTATTCCGAGGGTTCATATGAGTATACTGTGGTTAAGTTTTTCACATTAAATCCAATGATATATGATTTGTATATCATTCAATGAAGTATAAAATATTTCCTATTTTATCAAATTTCCCTGATTTCTGGGAACACAATGTGCCTGGTCATAAAAGTGTTGAATAAGCATTCTGTGCTCAGTGAAGGCCGGTGCTGAATAGCAGGGGCACAAACAGAATCCATACACACAATGTGTGGTTATCAGTTGCAGATGTCACAAGAAGAAAATTTCTTTCGTGACAAAGTAAGGTGTTCCATGATCATTAGGACTTGTTTATTGTTGAGTTCATTTAAGAAAACTGCAATTTACATCTACAACACAATAAAGCAGGAAACCTGTTGATATTGTAAAGATGTTACTATTAATTTATTTGTTAATGCTATTAAAAGTATTAATTTCAAAGTCGAAGTATTGCTTATTCGAACTTTGATTTTCAGTATGCTGTTTTCTCAGTTTTCAGTGAAGTAACATCCAAAGACATTGTTGATTTTATTTCAGAGTGTATTGGGACAGTTACTCTTGATGCCTCTCCCAGACATACTATCTATTGTGAAGAACCCAAATGCTGGTAAGGAATACTGTGTTGCTGACATGTCATCATGTTTCTGTTCACACTAGTAGCACGTATATTGTAAGTTAGAGGTTATTCCATTATTTCATATGGTTTAGATGAAAATTTTACCAAAATGGTGCATCAAATAGTGAAGTATCCAAAAAAAATGCTCCTCCTTGTTTGAATAAGATTAAAACTTTCACAAACTTTATTTGAAGAACTAACATTTTTGTGTATGTTATTCATTTTTAACCTTCAAGGTGGGTGTTGAACTCTTGTGTAAAGTATATGTTTTGTGGGAGAACATCTGCATGTAACAGCTGAGAAAGCTCTACTGGCCATTCATATATAGTGAATTTGTAATTTCTGTAATGTACTTTCTTGAATGATTCACATGAAAGTTGTTATTAACACTTTGCATAGCAAATCTTATCTAGTTATAATGGTTTCAGTTTGGTTTTGAGACTCAGAAGAAAAAGTTGCTTTCTACAGATTAACATAAACACCAACTGTAGGTTAAGATAGCCCAAAAATATTCCTATTTTTTTGTTTAGTGTGATACATGCCTTATTACCAAGTTTGGGACAAGATAAACTAATAATTCTGGGCTCAAGAACTAAGTACCCTAAACAGGGAATGCTGATCCATGTTTGTCCCAAAACCATCTTTAATTAATGTTTTCTTTGTTACAGTTTCTCTGAATCTTTTTATACTAAATCTAGTATTGTACAATTTTTTATAGAATTCATTTTTTTTCTTTTATTAAGAACTACAAGAGATTAACAAAGACACTTTGCAATTTGCAGAACAAAGTGTGGGGGCCATGAAACAGTTGATATTACTAATTTTGGGTGCTGCAGTCCAGTGTGAACAAAAGGAAAACTTCATAGAGGCAATCAAAACTTTGGACCTTGATGCTCAGCATGCAATGGTTCAGTACATTCAACAGGTAGATAACCCTTGTAATTTAGTTTGTTCAATGGGTGGAAAACCCTTATAATTTAGTATATTTAACATGTAGATAACCCTTATAGTTTAGTTTGTTCAACAGGTAGATAACCCTCATAGTTTAGTTTGTTCAACAGGTAGATAACCCTCATAGTTTAGTTTGTTCAACAGGTAGATAACCCTTATAGTTTAGTTTGTTCAACAGGTAGATAACCCTTGTAGTTTAGTTTGTTCAACAGGTACATAACCCTTATAGTAGACAACCCTTATAGTTCAGCATGTTCAACATTTAGATAACCCATATAGTTTAGTGTATTCAACAGGTAGATAACCATTATAGTTCAGTATGTTGAATGCATAGATAACTTTTGTAGTTCAGTAAATTCAACTGGTAGATAACCATTATAGTTCAGTATGTTTAACATGTAGGTAACCTTTGTAGTTCAGTAAGTTCAACAGGTAGGTAATGATTATAGTTCAGTATGTTGAATGCATAGATAACTTTTGTAGTTCAGTAAGTTCAACAGGTAGATAACCATTATAGTTCAGTATGTTGAATGCATAGATAACTTTTGTAGTTCAGTAAGTTCAACAGGTAGATAACCATTATAGTTCAGTATGTTGAATGCATAGATAACTTTTGTAGTTCAGTAAG